TAGAAAGTAGATTCCGAAACTACACCATTTTGGTATTCATATTTTCGATTAAGTCTGGAGTTGTTATAAAGGATTGGGGATAGAGAAGGGGGAGTGCAATTGTGGCATATTCGCTATAAGAGACTCACCGGTACCTCAAACAACTCATAATGTATACCTCAACCTCATACAGCCACATGAGCGGGAGGGCCGACGTTCAGTCGTCTTCAACTAGCAGACGACAACTCGAAATGCCTTGGCAGACATGAGGCTTTAGCAAAGGAGGATTAGGCATGGGGCAGAGGTGGGCATGGATTCACCGAAGTCAGCTGATGGTGTGGAAGGACCCACGATAGTTCCAACGACTATTAAAATCATATAAACAGCCGTCCTAGGTAATCGTCATGTGCCTTCCATTGTGTCTGGTATATGAATTCTTATGTTCACCCTATTTCATTAAGGTGACGAAGGACTGTTAGTTGAATTTTCCCACAATGACACGAGTAACGCTGACGTTTCCCAAAAGTGATCTCATTTAATGGTAGTCTCGAAAATCGACTAAAAACGAAATACCAATTCTTTGCTCTATCCTTCTCTCCTGGAATGCCTACTTTCAAAATATGCATAAATATCCGCGGATAGCAACTCATTTTCGAGGATTCTCATTCCATATTAATGCTGAATCGACGCTTATTTCACTTGTAATTGTGCACTGAAAAGGTTTGTTGGTAGATCTCACCAGAGCCGAGGGCAGATTTCATTCGGAATTTTGTCACTTATGTTTCTGGACCGTTCCGATGCTAACTAGCTAAGTATCTACTTGAAATAACAGTTTAGAGCCATCATCAGAGTAGAATCGCTATCTTGTACATACCTCTAGCTATGCATGAAGTCACAGTGTGATCGACTGCATTCGTTTTTGTGAAAAGGTTTCTTCCGCAAGTCGAGGGGAGCTTTCATGAAATCCAACACTTCTCTGATGATGTACGTGATGATTCCGAACCTGTATCCTTCCAAAGTCAACATCACATGAGGCTATGACTAACATATGTCCCAATCGCCAATCCAAATTTAACTATGCATGACATGAAGGTAAACCTACCTATATCGAAACGGCAGTCAGGTCTAACTTGATTGCGATACCATTTTAAGAGATTAGACTAAGGCAACTCCAGTAGCAGCATGAGGCTACTCATCTGTTTGTTGAAAAAACTAAACTATTAGTATTTAAATCACCTTAAGTGACCCAAGTTGACTGAATTATTATACAAATATCATAAAGATTGCTTGTACGAGAAATCCAAATTATGTTTATGCGCATGTGTTTCTGTGTGTATGTTGAGGACATTTAGAGTGTTCTTCAGCATTCTATCAAATTTTCTAGTTAGTTCTTAGTTAGGCTTAGACGGTTTTTAGCATTCAATTGTATTGCAGTTTATTCTTATTGCTCTTGATGATCTAGAACCAACTTTGGGGAGCATAACCATTCGAAGTGAGCATAGCACGAAGTGTGTGTTGTTTCATGTAGTGTCTTATGGCGGAGATTAGTGGATTCCTTGTCCTGCATGTGTTAAACGAAACAGGCATTACGCGAAATGACTTTTCGAATCGAATTAAAGAATACAAATTGAACAAAATTATGTTCTTATTCAGACTCAGGGGAGCTGCATTCAATTATACAAAAAAAACTAGAACTAGTAGTAGCTTCACTAAAACTGTAAGTAGCATTAACGATATCTCTTATTGTGCACACAAGTTTTTGCCATGATAGATTTGGTTAAACTATCTATGCCAACCCTTTGTCATTTTTCTATCGCTAAGTTTGCAATAGAATATTTATCTGGGGAGATACTTCATCTATTGTGGCATGGCTATAAGTCGAAATTCGATCAGCTTAAGATGAAAAGTGTCGTTCTTGACACTTCGTTTTGGGCTTAATTCGAAACTCCTCCTTATTAGAATAGCAACATAAGTCTAGTTCATTTATAAACTTGGATTAAGTTGCAGTGATATATGGCTAAACTTAACAACATATAAATGTATTTTTTGAAATTTACCATCCTCTAAAATTCGGGGTGTATCAAAACTTACCTCTTCTGACATATCAAACGCAAACATCAATTACACTCTATAGCCTCTTTGTTGATGGTTCCAAGTAAACAAAATATTTTTTTCTCTTAACAGGGGGATCGTGAGCGTGAGATGGGCCTACAGATTTCTCCACTTTGTGATCGCAATACCGTAATGGTACCCAAATCACAACTTGGTGAGTAATAGTTATTTTCAAAGTGTTAACACATTGTAAGCTTAATGCTTACAAGGCCAATTTAAATAAGATGACATGCACTACTTACAGCGCGCCTATAAGTAATATATGCGTTACTCATTTTGTCCTAATGATAATTTGTTGGATTTGGCCCTTAGGAAATTTTATGCATTACCTATCATTGGGCATAATACAGGGTTGCACATAGATCCAAATCCCGAAGATTGAGACCACTAGCCCAAATGATAATATGACGGCGTGAAGCCTGCGAAACGTGCTGACGTGGCAATACTCTTACAGCCCATTTATACTATTATCACTGCCTTGGCAACTATCCAGCCTGATTTCTTACATTAAATCATAACAGCATGATTTGTTTATTGATGAATATTGTCATACTATTTATAATATCTTATTACTTATTACGTAATAAGTTTCTGTCTTCATTTATTTCCACATTAATTCTTCTATTATTTATGTCTTATTAATTTAGGCTTTATCGACTTTATCGTGGAGCCCAGTTTCAACCTACTTGGTGAAATGTTCGACCGTCTGATCACCTCTCGGATGTCAGAGGAGGCATCTGAGGGGGCGGTAGTTGAGCCAGAAAAAGAGGGTTGTGCTGACAACAAAACGAAGTTTCGAACATTTATGGATGTTGAAAGTGAGTGAAATCTATAGAAGCCGAAGTCATAATCTACGCGAATACGCAGTTACTGAGCCATATGCTCTATGCCAGATGTAGTTTTGCCCGTAAACGTCTACTAATATTTCATAGAAGTATGTGTGCTCAGCCTACCGGTATGTCATAACCTAAAATGTTAATTACAAAGGACATAATTTGCAATCGTACTTGCGCCAGCTCTGCTATCTGACTTCTCCATTGCTATTGGTGGCTTAGTTTTGGCGTATTTTCAATCTTGGACTCGTATTTCTTGGGCTTGATTCGTCCAAGGTTGTTGCGTAAAGAGGTTGAGGTTGAGGTTGGAGACGACTCCGTAGGAAAGGATTGTCTTACGAGAGAGAAAACAGCCAAACTGGTCTACAAAATCACGCTTTCGCATCACTTCATTTGGGTCAGACAAAGAGAAGATTCTATGCTAGACTGTCCGACAATTTGCAACCGCATACTCAAACAAACCGCCATCCAAATTTGTGATCATGCAGCTAAATAAGCATCCAAATCTTAGAGTACAACAGGCTTGACAATTCTAGCATCATCCTGGTTGAAACATGATGGATCCTACTTTTTGCTTTGGTAGTTTAAAATGCCCCAGACTTACATTTTAAAGTGAAGCATAAACATGCTTATTTCAAATGGTATTTTCCTTTACGAACTTTCTCCTTTACTCTACTGAAATAGGATCAAAAGGTCCTTTGGTGGCAGTCGCATGTGCCGCATGTGGCTAAGCTTGCAAAAGTGAGCGATGGTAAAAAATTCGATATTACAATTTTTAGTATCTTTTTTAGTGTGAAAGCAAGCTGGTTTAATGAATCTCCAGTCTATTACTGCTAATAAACTTTAAAGAGTAAATTTGTATGTAGATATAAAGATACAAATTGTGTAGTCCTCTATTTGTTCGCAGTAAATTCGTTTACCTACCAAATGTTTTCTAAGCAATTTCTATTTATTTTTTAATCATCTCCTGCATTTAAACACACTCATACACACTCTTTGCACAAATATACACACAAACACACACACATGTACTCGCGTATTTATAAACATGTGCACAAATATTACTGCACACAAAACATTCAAACATAAATATATCTTCATTCCAAACCACGTTTGCATGAAAACAGGCGAAGAAGATGTGAAACTGGCTCGTCAGCCGTGGGTGCCGCACTTCAAGGAGAACAAGCAAAGCTGGGCACAAGAGGCTGCAAAGCAGAGCGAATCAACAACTAAAGAGCCGATTAAACCCGACCATTAAAGCATTCAACATGGGACACTCTCAGGAGGAGCCACTAGAAGACTCCATATGCATCAATACATTGGTTTCATAGCCGTTTCACACTTTGGTTCATTTGCCCGTAAACCTTCCTGTCTGCCAGCCTAGTATTAATATTGATTACTTGCAATCCACTTATGCATTTGATACAACAAGCCCTAGTTACTTCGCCCACTTGCATCCGCTCCCACGGTCTCCTAGTCCCTAGCTCCCGTTAGCTGATCTACCAGAAACACACAATTTCTGTTGATTCAGATACAGGCAGACATAAAAAACCTGTGCCGCACAAAACTGACCGCTTTCTTTGAGTTCGTTTCAGCCCGATCCAGCTTCACTCTTCTAAGAAGTTACTCTCTACGCATGTCCCACTCCCTCAGACCCTGTTGTCTATCCAGGTCACTCTCTTCTTATCCCACTCCTCCCAATGTCAATATGAAATTTTTGCCTAGCCTAGAAGCTCACTCGTTCCCTTTTATATTCATATCTTGTTTTACCAGTTGCCTCGATAAATTACATCCATGCTAATGAACACACACATTTTGATTGACTGGTTAGCTTGAAGATGGTTGCAGGAATGATACCCTGATATGATGATTTCCATCAGATGACAG